CCACAACACTTCATACCCCCCCCCCCCCCACCTCCATCAGAGATTACATCCTGGTAAATGACATCCGCATGGTCATCGTTGAAACGCTGAAACCACACCGATGACGCTCTCTTTTCTACAAATATTTAGAAGCCATGAGCAGTCATGAATTCGGCAAATCCTTATCGAACCCCCTTGAAGTAGATTTCATGCTAGCAGAAAGGAAAATCAACGTTGTCCGACTTTTAGTCACATTAGACTGTTTCAATCAGACTTCCTAGGAGTCTGATCGCAGATTACAGTAAAGCAAGAGAATTTTTAAAGCTTTTATCTTGAGAAAGTAACATGGCTGTGAATAATCAACTCCAACCCCATCCCCGGCCCCCCTCCTCCATCCTTAGCTACTTTTCTACTCGGTTCATATCACCAGCTCCTCACCCACCTGCTTCCGTAATCCCCTTCTCTTTCACCCCAAATTCTAATTAAAATGGAATTTTCTTTTACCCCGGTAACCTTGGGTCTTATTCTAGTCCTGAGGTCCAAGACCACTACCTTGTGCCTAGAAAGCTATTTAAAAGTCGCCATCGTTTCCGTCCCATTAAGTGAGAGCATACTATTTAAAATAAATATTTATTCAATTAGATTTTGCAGTCAAGTGTATTCCGAACCTACTAATCGTTCCTCTTCATTGTCATTACAACTCTCTACCCAAAAATCTTATCTTAGTTGGTTCATATTTAAATATATTTTAACTCTTTTGATTTTCATCATTATTTAAAATGGTCTCTGAAGTAAAGATGAAATTCTCATCACTTCAACAGGCCCTTGAGGCAACAGTCGATGTAAACTCCAAGGAAAGGGATATTCAAATACGCGGAGATATTTCCTTACTGAACTCTATAGCTAACTCGTGGATAGGAAAGGAAGCGGAAGGCCTGCTAAGGGAAAGATCTTCCCCTTTGGCTCCTATCGACTTGGCGTTAATTTACAATTTGATGATATCGGGGTTTTACTTGCCATTCCCAGCTGGATTCCAACAATCGGTAAAATGGACACGAACATCTGCGAAAGGTTGAGAGAGGCGTTGTTGGATGATCCTCAAACGCAATATGTAAAAGTTTTCTGTTGCTTCCCCAAAAGCTATATACGAGCGAAAATTGGGGGACAAACATCTTCGTCATCTTAATCGTCCAAGCAGCAAGGGCCAATACTAAGTATAACTTCTTAAGTATGTCCGAGAACAGCAAATGGAGATCGTGGCAAATAAGAACATCCATTCAATACGCGCACAAATTGGTGAATGCGAGTGTTATGCTCGATGTGGTTTACTCTAAGTCGGTTTATAGAACAACTCTTAAAGCAATATGACTATGGACCAGAAATAAGGGTTTCCATTCCAAACATTTAGGATGTTTGAGCGATATCAGCTTGGCTATCATGACTCGCCATGTTTGTCCACTCCATCCTTTGCAGTCGGCGGAGGAGATTTTCGAACTTATAGCCGATGGAATTGGAATATACCGATCAAAATTTACGTTAGATTAGTAAGCTCTGTTTACTTGGTTTTATTTAAAGCAAAGTGCATTGTTTTAAAATCTAACTTTACACATCCCCCATTAGCCATTTAGAACGTCCCATCAGATGAAAATCCTGCCTACATATTCACTCACAAAAAAATGTCTTATCCCATGTTAGTGGAAGCGGAAAAACCCTCATTTCCGATGAAATAAGCAATTGTAGTTTTGACATCTGCTACATTTTTTACCTCCATATATCCTGTTGGGTTGTATAAATTTATGCCATTTATTCACAATGTATGCTTTGAAGTACTGCAAGATATTGGGCAATCGAACCGCTCTTGGGGAGATTTATTCGAAAAGAAAACCTTTCCTGCGAATTTCTCCAGCTCAATGAATCCTGGTTTTGAGCCTTCAGTCTTTGAGAGGTACGTGCGTGAATGCACGGACGCTTACGGGAAGTTGGATTGCGTCCACCTAGTTCACATAAATTGCGAGACTTTTGCCAAGGGTTCATCGGTTTGAGGATGTTGCACGAAGCAAATCTCGATGAAACTAGAAATATGCGCTGTTCTTTCTATCATGATTATTGCAAAGCAAGGATAAGGATATTCGACAGGTAACTGTTTATTCATTTTTTCTTCATCTTCTACTCACTATGGCTCTGAGTTCAATGACTTTTTGAGTAAACATCGCGAAGCAGACGAGAAATGTCTCCCAGCACCGGCAGAAGTGGCAACACCAGAGGCGATAGCGAAGAGTATGACGGTGGAAAGAGGCTCTTATTTGGTTTTGGTGCGCTCGATAGTAAGTTAATGTGCATTTTGTGTTTCAATTGATCCCATTTTACAGCATCTAAATATGCGTGCTTAGTATACTATACAAATTTATTTATATCAAATGGTAGGATATATGATAGAAATCATTGGCTCTTTAGTTTACTTCGGGCTTCTTAGAGGCGAAGAACATCAAAGTCACAAAAAATCGAGAGAGGGAACAGAAGAGTGACGGAGAGAGACAATGGTAGAGAAAAAAGAGAGGTGAGTACTGTGAGAGTGGTGGAATATGCATCCAGTCGGGTCATAGTAGATAGAAGTCAGAAGTCAACTACCGGTCAATAGACTTTTTGCCGTATAGGTATACGTTGCCCAGGGTGCACCACGTGGTGGTAAGTCTATCGCATACCCCTCCTATAGAAATGTAATTAACTGATTTTATCTACTACTCACCTGCTTTCTTCATTTACTGCTGGCATGAACTAGGTTGTCCATATAATAATTCTTTAATCCATCCCATCTTGTGAAGAATTGGAACATAAATTTTCGCTTCTAAAAGATTGTAATCCTGCCAGACCTAATCGGGTACCGCTTTATAGCTTTCGATATTAACTGTTTGAATGGTCGGGATTAGGCATTGATCCAGAATGACCGACCAATGGTAATATAAGATCTGTCGTCATAATAACAAGAGTGGGAATTTTCTATTTTATTAACAGTTCTAAGGCTCAAAATCATGACCTTCAGCTCCCTCATCTCATATCGTTCTCTCTAGACTTTCGGTCGATGCATTTGCAAGCTTGGTTTGTGTGAAAGAATATTATGAATAAATGTACTAAGACCCAATAAATAACCGGTAGAAGCTTTGTGGCTTGATGAAAGACAATAGCACTCAAATGAAATGAGAAATACGGAACAGATGACTGTTTTGGGCAACAGAGTTGGCGATAGGCGGCCGAATTTGGTTCGGGGGGGGTGGGGAGCTAATGATCGCTAAAACATTATTCTAGGGAAGAGTTCTCTTTTGGTTTATCGAAAACGTCCAAATAGGTTTTATTGATCGCTCATCACTAATACACCTCAACTTTCTACCTCAGAATCTTTGCGATGCGACGTAAATATGGCAGATGGAAGCAATATCACGGTCTGCTTGCAAACTCTAACTTTCAACTGCTTTTACGACTATCATGGTCAAAGCCTCTTATCGATAGAAAAATCTACTCCACTCTAATCTATCACTTTTAAGATGAGTCCCATTGGTATTACTGTTTTAACAGAGGCGCTATTACCGTTTGAAGCATGTTCAACACGTGCCTTTATCCTTCGCCTGATACCCACAAAAGCTCATCATGTCGGCATCAGTGTGCCATGAGGCGCGTGTGAGTGTGGTTGAGTGCATTTATTCAACAAATATTTCGTGCGTTAAAAGGCTAAGTTATTATAAGAGTAATTAAGCCGTCATAAGGCAAACTATTGTCTGAACTCATCCATATTCCTAATTTTTCTACTTTCTTTCAAAAAACCTGATTTATTAAAAATCGTGTTTGTTTATTTGTCCATTAGTGCCTGTATACACTGAAATTCTCGTGAATAAAATTAGCTAATAAGGAGGTATATATAAAGAGGAGTATTATGTACCACTAATTAATTAATTGATGTAGAATCCATTTTCTGGTTTAAAAAGCGCCAACAATGCATTCAAGACATTTGATTTCTCGTTCCATTTTCTTTCTGAATTTCTGTTGACCCTATCAACAATTCTTGAGGCAGGTATTTGCTGATTTGTGAGCTTTTAAATCAAAATTGAAATTGTAAAAATATCCATTTAAAAATCATTTTAAAGAAAAATAGCAAGCAATCACTAACCGCTTGAATGATCTAACGGATACTTCGCAGTCATGGATAATTTCATCCACAACATCGTCAAAGTAATTTGGATACCCGCAGAATTTAATTCCAATGAACCACTTTTTCGTACAACTTTGGCTATCTTCTTCAAGCGCTTCATCAAAGGCTATACAATTGACATGTACGAATTCCACACCGTCTTTTTGCTCGTAGAGGGCTACTCGATCGCGCACGTAGGTTTTAAACACCGAAGACCACATATCAAAAGTCTGCTCATTTGGGCATTTAAAAGTAATAGTGAAATAGTAGGGGTATGTGTGGAAAAACGTTTTCCTTTCAAAGAGATAAGACCATGGATATCCACGTTTTATAATATCTAGCACCCTCTTGTAGCCTAAATTCATAGGAATAAAGTGCACGTCAATCGAAAAGGAAAGCGCAAATTAGTCGAGCAAAAATTTAGCACAATTGTGTGGTTTCTTTCTCAACTAATAAACAAAGAATGTTGCAAAATGAGGTTATAGCTCGGAAAAACAAAAATTTTATGTTTACTATTACTTTTGAAAAGATTCAACTGAATCTTGCTTTCAAAGATTCCACTTTCTTAACTTATGATGTCGTCCCTAATGTTCTGTCATTGTTATGGTAAAACTTGATTTCTACTAACATTAACATTCAAACTTCATGAAAAAATGATCTATTCTATTGGGTTATATCTTTAATTATGTATAAGCCTATATATATATATATATATATATATATATATATATAGCAGAAAAGGAAATTCGGACCGCAAGCAAAAGTCCCTCTGGTAACAATGAAGAAATCCTGTACAGAGTCAGTACCATGCTAAATCCAGCAAGACACCTAGAAAATTCCAAATTTTATCGGGCTGTCATAGATAAATATTGATGTCAGTCTGTAAAATGCAATTTCGCACGTCAAGAGTAGTTGTACGATAATGTGGAGTACAAAGCTACGAATATTCGTAAATTGGACAGTAATGCTTTTCCACACAATCCAAATCAATATTCCCCAAACTAAGGATCAACAAGGATCTTCAGTATTCAATTTCTGGATGTCATAGCCCTTTTAAAATGAAACACACTGGTCTGTCAAAAAAATCATGCATGTGATACGTAATAGGGGAGAATAATTTATCAAAATCGTTCTCAACTTGTTAATATTCTGTCAAGCATGCAAAAGTCATGGTGCTTGAAATTATATTAAATGAATTACAAATCCTTCGATGAGCAGTTAAAGAAGCAAATGAACTAATTAGCCTATATAGATATAACAATCATTTCAATATTTATGAATAACTTACCGTAATCGCTAATCATACGACAGAGGAGGTTAATCTTGTGGCCAAAACGAATATACACATTTACCTTTGACGGTACCTCCTCATGGTACCTATGTGGAAACTTCGACTATAAGGAAAATGGGTGGAGGATTAAAATTAGAATGGTTTAAAAGGTTGACAAGAGCCTACAGTTTGCAAGAGAACAGAGGAGTTCATTATGATTGGTTCCCTCCAATTCCATTGGCTATAAATTCGAAAGAAGTGGTAGACAATTTTCTCAACCGGCTCCAAAGGAAAGAGTTGGCAAATTCGACAAGTCATGATTGTCAAATTGAAATTGTTTAAATATCTCAAGACGTTCGAAAATATCCCGCATTCTTTGGCCCACATTTTTATGGTTTTAAGCGCCGTTTGAAAGACTTTTTTGGAGTAAACCATAGTAAGCATGGAAGACGCATTTATCATGCCAAAAATACGTTTCTCATTAATAAGCTCAATAAATAATGAAGCATCAATACTCTCAGATATTTTAAAATTACTCGGGACATTGTTCATGGGCAACTTCCCAAGGAAAATGTCAAACTTAATTCCTGCAATTTTTGTCCTTATCAAATTTCTGCGTTTAGAGCATAACACATACTCCACAGGTTCCTTGAATCTTAACATCTCGGCAAAGAGAAGAGTGAAGGATTTCTGTGAAATCCATTTCGGGGCAACTAGCAAAACGCCGTTATCGTCGTCTTTAGTATTAATTCCTTGGCAATAGGCTCCAAATGGGATAATTTTCACCCTATAAGGTTCATCATAGGTCACCTGCACTTTTCTTGCAGCCTCACTTTGGATCCAGGCTTCAGCAACAGATTTCAGCAACTTTAAATGTTGGCGGCTCCTTGAAACCTGGAAATCGATCATACTTTCGAGAGTTCGTTCAAGGGATGGAGAAGCATAGTCAGTACTTTCACCCTTACTATCGGCAATAGCAGTCATTTTAACTTTAAATTTTCAAAGTAGTTTAAAAATATTCAGAAATTATATAAATAAGAACGTGAAAATAGTGATCTTAATTAATGTTTTTTGATTGATTTTACTTTTGAATTTTGAATAAGTTTGCCTTAAATATGGCAGATCAATGGTGAGATTGCCACTATTTTAAACACTTGTAACTATTAATAGATAAATTAAAGAATAAATTGATAAAATGTTTGTTTTAATTTTATTTATTAAAAATGCGATTTCTGAAAATTGGTTTGTGGATATTTATTTTTCAAAATTTTAAATTGACGATCTTAAAGTCTGAAGTTCTTGAAAAGTTTTTAAACTTGAAAATAAAGATATCCATCACCTTGGAAATTACTTTATGACAGTAGAAAGAGGAACGACGTTATATTCTGACAAAAACAGTATGCGTGGGTAAGATTTCAGGCTAAAATGTCCCTTAGAAATTTCTCCTTGAACCCTAAGAATTTGACAAGAATTACATTACTGTAACTTACTTTAGACGACCAGATCAGATCAAAATCCTTGGAGTTCATTGAGTTGTATTTGCATTAACGTTATATCAATCGTTGTTTTTTGAACTATTTCTGTTTATTACCAATGCCAGCTAAGATATACTAAATGCTTTCATTTACTTTCTATATTAAATTTCTCTACGGTTTGTGTATGGTAAGAATACTCCTGTCCCTTACTATATTATCGTAATAGATTACTTAATTAATGTGATATCATATTTGTGGACGGTTAGATACTAAGTCGCTTTGTTGATCTCTTCACCCTATGTGCAGTAAAATCTTATCTTAACCCCTTGGAAAATTGACAACCAAGCAGTCTCTAAACCCGCGTAATGTAAGATGTAGGCTTATTGCGGATTTCCAGCAAAGTAGCACTTATTTGGAAAAAATGGCAATGAAACTGCAAGTGGATGCTGCCGTTCCTATATGAAAACTGAGAGTTCAATAATCTTCCGAATCACCTTTTGTCTTGGTTATCCCATCAGAAATATCATGATGGCTTAAATAATGGAAAAGCAATTCCACCCCCCCCCC